AGGCTACACGCACACACACACACACATATATACACGGTCAACACATCCGCCTGAGATAATCCGCAGCCTGCTACCCATTCCAGCTAATCAGCGATGTAAAGTGTAGCTGTAGCCATTTGTCTGTTATGCTGCCCATGACAACATCATCGAGCTCTGCTGTATGATGCATCGAGTCCCCCTGTCGGTTAAGTTAATATGGCACAGTGCAAGGATGGATGCAGCCTTGACCTTATAACACACAATAACAATGTCAGGCTGTCAGCTGTGAAGGAAAGGGAGGAATAATGCCAGGACAGATGTATATGTATATTAATCCTTCATGAAGACTGCAAACTCCATATAAAGAGGCTGTGTGGCTCTAGTCCGAGGGGAGTGGATTGTTTACAGTATTGTGTTCAAGATATGTTTGTGTAGAGCTTAAATGATTAGTTCATTCATCGATATCTGCAACTGTTTTGCTAATCGAGTGTTGCTTTAAGTCATTTTTCAGGTAAATAGTTTGGATGTGATGCATTATTTTGTCCCATGTGACAATGCTGAATGTCTTTGGGGTTTTTAAACAAACTATTTTAAGATGGCACCCTGGACTTTAGAAAAATAGTGATGGGCAATTCTGGCATCTTATAGACCAAGAAAGTAATTTTCAGATTATACGATATTAGTAGTTTTGGATATTGTGTTGTCATTAACTCTGCAGTGTGTGACTAGTAACAGACAGCAGGATGCATGGACAAATAGCACACCTTCAGCAGTGCTGGGGTGTGCCAGCCTCTGTTAGTTTGCCACTTAAAATGCTTTAGCCAAAATTTAATTCTTGCAAATTTATGGTTTAAGAACTAAACTGTAATATCACTATCACTATAGCAGTGGATACTCCCCATAATTCTGTTATTTACTGATTCTGTGTGTGTGTTTAGGTGAGGTGGGTTCGGGGAAGACCACCTTGGTTGCAAAACTACAGGGGATTGAAGAATACATGAAAGGGCGTGGCCTGGAATACCTCTACTTCAGTGTCCATGACGACGACATTGATGGTAACCAGCAACTGCAGTTCATTGACCAATAAATGTCCATGCATTTTTCCTTTTTTTTTTTTTTTTTTTTTACAAAGTACCTCTAAAGTAATGCAGCTGTATGATCGTATAGGAGTGTGTACATTAATGTGTGTGTGTGTGTGTGTGTGTGTGTGTTTAGACCAAACTAGGTGTAATGCCTGGGTGTTAGATGGAGACCTTTACCACAAAGGTCTCCAGGGAGTAGCTGTGCCAGTGGACTCTATCGGCAACACGTTGCTGCTGATAACGGTTGACATGTCGCGGCCATGGAACGCCCTGGACTCTCTCCAGAAGTGGGCTGCCGTCGCTAGGGAACACATCGACAAACTCCGGGTCGCCCCAGAAACACTGCGGGAGCTGGAGCACAGACGTGAGTCACACTGACAACATTCAGGTTTACTAGTGGATAAAGTTGAAGACAAAGTATACTTCAGTGCTTCTTCATGAAAATGCTCTGAGCAGTACCAAAACAATTCTTTGATTTCTTTCTTGTCTTTGTAAAAAGCTAGAAAGTTAGGAGACTGTTTAGAATTGTAACCCCCTGCCAGGTCCCTCTATTTTCTTACGTTTGTTTACTTTACTTTAATGTTCTTTGTTTGTGTGTGTGTGTGTGTTTGTGTGTGTGTGTGTGTAGTTGTAAAACAGTTCCAGGAGTACACAGAGCCAGGCAGTGGGGAGGATGGCACCCCGCAGAGGAGGAGTGAAGATGAGGAGACCGTGCTGCTGCCGTTAGGAGACAACACACTCACACACAACTTGGGAATACCAATGGTGGTGGTCTGCACCAAGGTACACACACACACACACACACACACACTCACTGCTTATAAACACAGCCTATGTGTGGAAACGTTTACTGAAACCTATGTGCTGTGAAAATGACATTATTTTGGGACTGGAAACTTAACTGTTTAACTGCTTTAATATTTTTTTAGAACTTAAAACGTTTTTGTATTTTTTTGCATTGCATCTACTTCCACACATTCACCTCTGTCTGACACCTGCCTATCTGACCTCAGTGCGACGCCATCAGCACACTGGAGAAGGAGCACGACTACAGAGACGAACACCTGGACTTCATCCAGTCTCACATCAGAAATTTTTGTCTGCAGTGTATCCTTCACTAAACATTGTTTCTGCCCTTGGCTGTGAGCTGAAAGGTGCACAAACAACACATTTATAGTGTCAGGAAACAATGAAAGTATTGATTAGTACAGTATACTCAGGGGTTTTAATGGGGCTGTTGATCAATACCACTGACTCTGCAATTTTCCTGTCAGATGTGGAGATTTAAGGCACTCACATTTTGTCCTGCGCTCTTGTAATGTCCAGCTGTTCGGTGATGAAGGATGGCGATACAGCTGAGTGATTGGCATTATAAGGTGTTTTGTTCTCAAGCCAAAGGCCAAGTTTGCAGTCGCTGTCGGTATTTCGTCCACTGAGCTGAATCTGAACTGATGTTGTTGTTGTTGGTGATATTGCTTTGCTGCAGAGAGAATTCGATAAAAGTCAGATTACCCAGTACTACCTGAAATTGTTTGCTTTTCAGAATCCAGTCAATGCTAAGTGGAAACAGTATTGAAGTTTTAAACGTGACTTCAACTAGTTCTTCTGTGTACTGGTAGCAATTGCTCTGCGCTAGTATGTGTTTTTCTGTACTGTTATTACAGAGCTGTAGTTTTATTTTTCCACTTTGGTGTTAGTTTTACTTTTGCTCCTGTATTTACGAATGGTGGTGTTGAAAATAATCTTTGACAACCATGTCAGACGGAGCATCTCTGGTTTACACATCAGTGAAGGAGATGAAAAATCTGGACATCCTCTACAAATATCTGGTCCACCGACTCTACGGCTTTCCCTTCCACTGCCCGGCACAAGTGGTGGAAAGAGATGCTGTCTTCATGTAAGCCTGCCTTTGTGTGTATGTGTATGTATGTGTTTATGTACTAGGACTGTGGGGCCACCTATCTGGTTTGTAACCCTTCCTCTCCTTTATCAGTCCATCAGGTTGGGACAATGAGAAGAAGATCGCGATACTTCATGAGAACTTCCAGACAGTAAAAGCGGATGACAGCTTTGAGGACGTAGTAGTCAAACCGCCAGTCAGAAAGGTAAAGGCTCCTACTGAATACTAGGCTAACTTGGAAAGATCCTCTTAGGCAAACTAAGCTTACAGCGGAACCGTTAATATTACGTATCATTACCTTCGATGTCACGTTTCGCAGCCAGTGCACTACGCTTTACCCAGAGTCCCCTGCAGGGATCGTGAGAGTTTTAGCCAATTTAATGTATTTGCTGTGGGGGAGTTATAAGTAAGGACTTTTTTTTTCTCTTGCTTGTCACCAGATTGTACATGAAAAGGAGATTCAGGCAGAAGATGACCAAGTGTTTCTGGTAAAACTGCAGGTCAGAAAACCTCTCTGTTGTGTGAATGCCAGTTGGTTTGCTGCTCGTGGGCACTCCAATTAAATCTAACTTGAGGGTCTTGATATGTTAATTAAATACTAATTGGAGTGAGTGTGCATATTGTGCTCTAATTTGCAGTCGCTGCTTGCCAAACAGCCTGCTGTGACAGCAGGGAGACCAGTGGTGAGTGCTACTTTCTTTCTTTTTTCTAGTTTTGGCTCACAGGATAAAGAAAATCTCCCTCTAGCGTCCGTATGTGTGAAATAAACTGTCGTTATTCATAGGACACCACCAGCAGAGCACCCACCGGTTCCCCCAGGACGAGTAATCGCTCCGCAGCGGCCAACGTAGCAAACGCCATGCCACAGTCGGGTACGTCCTTGCATTTCATCGCTGCACACAGCCACACATGACCATTGCTTTGTGTGTGTGTGTGTGTTTAATTCTTCTCACTGTATGCTGCAGGTCAGACCAGTGAGGGCGTGTTGGCCAACTTCTTCAACAGTCTACTGACAAAGAAAGCAGGGACAGGAGGGCCTGGTACGCCAGGTGGCGGGAACAACACTCCAGGAACAGTACGCAAGTCAGGTGAGAATACACACTTTTTGTTTTTATGGTGTGTTGGATAGAAAATGTTGAAAATGATCTCCATTGTGTTGTAGCATTTAATGCCATTTTCATTCACTTCTCATCACTCAGCTTCTTTTCTTGGCTTTGACCTCCCATCTTCCGTCCTTCATTTTCTCACCTCTTTACTCTCCTGTCCTCTACTCCAGACATGAACATAACACATGGTAAACAGAACGATGAAAGGGTCTGAGCGCGTCTAACACCCACACAAACAATCATCATCTTTCTGCCTGTTTTGTAGCTCTTGTGTGTGACAGTCTTTTCATTCCTAACTATGCTCACAGTCTGTTGTGCAATCTCACTGTTCACATCATTCATAATTTGTGTGTGTATGTGTATGCACTAGTCAGAGGATGCTGGCCACGTTAAGGTGTGTGTGAGAGACGTAATCTTCATTCATTATTGCTTGTGTATGTCACCGTTCAAGCATCCTTATATTTCCTTTGACCCACCCTTCCCCCGAGCCTCCGACTCTCTCCAGCATCCGAGGAGGAATCAAGGGATCGAGCTTCCTGTATCACCCATTTATCTCTTGTACAAACATACATGGACTCGGCTGTGGGCTATAAATTATTATGATTCGTTTATTTAGATTATTAGATTAGATTATATTAACTTCTCTAACCAATCTGAGAACGTTGTGGTTCAGGAGATGATCCCATGGCTATTAAATTACTTTTGCACTGTATGCCTTCATTTTGCTGTTAGGGGAACAGCATCTGGCTTATATGTATCAGAATAAGTGTATTGATTTCATATTAGTGGCAAGATCTAGAACGATCTTGCCATCACCAGCAGAAAGGCCGCCATGTCTCAAAGCTGCATTCTTGTCACCTATTCGGCAGGGTGAGGAAGTGCCAGACATGCCAGGATCATTTAACTTGATTGACTGATGATTTGATGACAGTTGCACCCATAACATCTCCCCTCCTAACACCCTCTCTCCATTCTGTTCCTCTACATTTTTTTCGGCATGTTGCATTGCATTTCTCATGACTAACATCTGCTACAAACATTACACATGATTCTAACTAAGGCTGGACAATTTGACATCTGCCTTCCACTTAGGTCTGTTTTTAACTAGATAACTACAAAAAAAGATGCAGTAAATTATATCCGTACTACTACAACATAAAAACCTTGTTGCATACTGATTAAATTGTCTGTCCTACAGTGGTTAACAAACATTGGATTTGTCTCTTGCAATAAGGACAATTTTACACTAAATGCATGGATATTTAGTGCAACAATAAATGCAAATAAATGAATATACATTCAGTATTACCACAGGTCTGTTTGTACAAGATGTGCACGAATAGGAAAGGAAAAATATGTATTATTGCGCTAAACCTGGATACGAACAAATTGTTTCATACTATATGAATACCATAACATACAATACCAAAAAACTAATCCAATCAACCAAGTCAAACTATTTTACCACCTGTCTACCAGAGTATGCACTTGTCTGTCTTCTCCCCTGCAAATGAGATGAGACATGATAAACCTGAATTTTTAGTATTACATTGAATAAATAGCCTAATTAACAAAAGTAAAACCATATTAATTCTATCCCAATGGTACTATTGCAAATGTTTTGATAATATTCAGTGTTTGACCCAGCCCTTTTTTTAACCATGTGTAATTGCCTTTGTGCTTATTGCATTGTGCCTCAACCACTCAATGCTGTAAAAAATGCACTTATGTATTGCACTGGCTAAAAGGCTCGTTTGATTATTTGCTCGTTTGATATAGGCACTCACTTTTTCTGTATTTGCATGCATCTGCCGCAGGTTCAAAGCTGGGCCTGGGCGATGTACAGGCGGAGCTGGACCGCATATCCAGCCGGGAGACTGACTCGGACTTGCCCAATGCCAACGACACGCCTGCCACCGACAGCCAGGACACATGAAGACCAACACACACGTCACCCTGCTCCCCCCGCCCCTCCCCCCTCAGTCATCTTCCACCTCCCTTGTCCTTCCTCCCTCCACTCAAAACCTCCACCCCATCACAAACATGCAGGGGAGAGAAAGAGGGATGTAGTTCACAAAGAACTCCCCCTCTCCACCCCCCTACCCATTACCCTCCACTACCCCCCCTTCCTCTCTTCTCCTTCTGGCTGTTTTGCTGAGGGCGAGTATTTGTCACTGTTACATACAAGACTGTCTGTTACATGAGAGTTAATGGGTATGGGGGACCAATGGGTGGTGTGTGGAGGAGGTTGGGATGAGACGACGTGAGAGCGTGTTGAAAAAGATCGATTGCAAGAATGAAAGCGAGGGTGTTTTATCCATCCATTCCTTGTGATGGTACAGTTAGTGTTTTTACTGTAGGAACTGCTGAAGGGTGCATGTTGAATAATCTGCACTTAGGTACTGTAGGGGTGATTGTGTGTTTAATGTATGTGGGGCAAGTCACGCTAGGCCAGAGGAAGAGATTGAGAACGAAAAGAAAAAAAACGCCTGAAACAACAATTGCAAACAGTCTTGTTTTTTAAGTTGAAGGGACAAACATACCAGTATTTGTGTGAGTGTGTGTGTGTGTGTGTGTGAGTGTGTACAAGTGAGGCAGATCAAGAAAATTAAGCAAGCTTCTTCAACCTGTATGTTGAGAGATTTTTTGGCTGTTTGCATTTCAACCAAAAGGCAAAAAACATTACTATGCTCTTACACTACAAGCTCTTAAAACAGCATACACTATTATTACAGCAGCCCTGTCTGCTACACTACACAAACCAAACATGACCACAGCAAAAAAAAAAAAAAAATCTACTTCAGACTCAAAGTTAACACTCGAGCACTAGTCATGTGTAGAAGGCACCTAAAGTCCATCATGACACCTAGTACTACAATTGGCCAAACTTCCCCCGCGTGGTACATACTGCTAAAACCTGTAGATGACAGACAGTGCACTGGAAAAAGGGAGGGTGTTAAAGGGGTAGTAGGGGGTGGGTAGCTGAGCTTTACTTGTACAGAAAGAAGCACTAGTGATTCAGTTTCATGGTTACTGCGGGCAAGGGGCGGTCAGAACAAGGGAGGGTCACACCACGAATGTACAGTCATTGTCTCGCTGATTGGTCCTGTTATTTCAGAGCTCTGTGTTGGCGTTTGTATAATCCGATCTGTTAATCAGTCAAATAAAAGGTGTATTTATTCGGATTCATCCACCTGGCTCCCCTTTGTTTTGTTATTTTCACAAGTCATCCGTCCTCTCCTCACTCTGAATAAACAGAGGGACTCGAGGTTCCTTCAGTTAGATCTCTTGGGTACAGCCCATGTTGTTAAGCATCAAGCTGCTGATGTGAGACTGAATTTTGGAATTGTCTTGGTTTAAAAATAACACAATTAGTAGGCACTGCTGTTTGAAGTACAGTGCTCTTCCTCAGGCAGAAACAACAGGGTAATTGAGGACAAGACACTGAATATCATCAGGGACACAAATAAACAAAAAAATCCAGTTTTTGTGGAGTATTGGATGTATTGATTCAATTAAATTGCCATTTTTGAGGCCAGTAAGTGTTTATCGATCAGTGCTGGTCTGGGCCTACTCAGACTCACTCATAACTGTTAGGAGCCTCACCACTAAAGTATTCAGAGGTACAACTTTATTTTAAGTTGTTGTGCAGCAGTTGCTGTACAAAGTAGGAAAGAGTGTAATTATATTGATTGTAAGTGGTTTCTGTTACTTTGTCTACCCTGCGTAGGCTCTATGTCCGGCCTCTAACCGCTCTGAAGGGATCCTGAACTGCTTTTATTATTTATGTACAGTATATTTATACAATGCTCCACTGTCTTGTATCTGAATAATTTCTCTTGATATCTTTATAGGAATACTGTTTGTGGGCAACTTACTTTAAGCATCATTCTGTATGTATTTTCATGAGCAGATGAAATACCATTATCATGAAGGCTGAAATGACACACTCTCAAACCTATTGTGCATTTGCATGACCAATTGCAAGGAATAAGAGTGACTAATTTTGCCAAATAAATGAATATATGTGCAAGAACGGGTTTGCATTTCTATTTTATGAATAAACCTCGGTATGTAATTTGTAGAGGAAGTTCCTGATGGCCAGTCTTAATTTTCTGATGATACCTTGCAGACATGCAATAGTTGTGCTTTATGTTGTGTTGTCTATGTACTGTGTTGTATTTGTCATTACTCAGGTAAATTAAATACTCTTGCTCCTCTCACCTCAGTGGGAGACAGTGGATGGGATTCTTCCGAAGGTTTGAAGTTGGTCTCACATACTGGAATAAATATCCTCACCTTATGATAGATTCATTTTAAGCAGTGTATGAAAAAATATATCGGCACTCTTCCATTTGCTCTGGCAGTGGGTGTGGTCCATCGTATTACTGTCCTCATTCTGATATTATTTAAACCACTTACAGATCTGTGACCAAATATTGTTTCACTATCTCACTACACACTTCTGCTACTCTTTGAGAGATATGAATAAAAAGTGTTCCAGATGATTATTGTGGTATAATAAATCATCATAATTACCCTTTTCCATTTCTCGCAGTAATACTAATATGCTACCCGATGAAACTTTGGACTTTGACCTTTTCTAATCTATAGCACGTGGCAGACGCGTGAATATGCACTATACTGTATGTGACACTTTCTCTTTTGACTGTTTTTATTTAATATCAGTTTTATTTTCATATAGCTATAATAATAGGTCAGATATCAGAATACGTACATTACAATATGATTACAGCTAGCCTATGATTAAACTAAAATGCATACATAAGAATACAATTTTATATTTTTTTAAGAATACAGTGTTTTATATATATATATATGAGCTTTACTGTCAGCCCTAAAAATGGACTGAACTCACAGTTGTCACAAGTTGTGCAGTTCATGTCACGACAAACAAAAACAGCTACGGACACAAATGCCATTTAAACCACAGAACAGTATCATGTTTTTGTGGCCACTGCATGTTTTCCTTTCAATCAATGTTTTGT